TCGGCCATTTATCTTCCTGGTTTATAAATTCTTCTGCAGCCATATTGCCTACATGGGACATGTTGCGGACCCGACTGCCAATTAGTGTACGACAGTTACAACAACATGTTTCGTTTCTCTGTGTGCGAAATGACATAAAAGTATACATCTGAATAACTGAGCCTGGTGGCCTCCCGTTAACCCATGTCCGACAGTCTCAATCATACCCTGACCTCACTTCCTTTTACAATGATGCACCGACAGTCACTAGAAGTCACTTCGACAGAAGGACATAGTGACATGTTGTTTAAAGAATTAAATTTCTTGTCGCCACAGAGAACAAACCCTGTGCTCACCGTTCGCGGCATATTGCTTGTATTCCCTGACGCTGCTTTACAATGATATGCACCGTTCGTATAAATTATTGTTCTTGATTATGTAGAACAAACGCATTGATAACGCAGATCCGTCGTAAGCGTAAGTTATTCTGTGTACTCTAAGAGATACTGCAGCCAGAAGCCAGAACACCAAAGTCGTATATTTTACTGCAATTAGAGACTCAAACGAGCAAACTTGCATATTTTATTAAATAATAATAGTTTTATATTTATTCACCGATGATCATCGGTCACGAATTCGACGGATTCGGCAGCCCGAACCACTAACAAAAAGCATTTTGTTTCGTGTTGTCCATCCATTAACAGAGAAATTTACTGCTGTATAGCGACAAAACCTTAAACTTTGGCCAGTCGGGTTATTCTCAGTTATTACCTGTGCGAGTTGTAAGCGTAGGCACGAAAGCTCTAAAACGCCTTGTATAGCATCAGGCAAATTAAACTATGAAACCATAGCTAAAAACAAAACTAAGATAGAAGCAGTAGTTATTGCCTAATTTGTGTCAGGAAAGTGGACTTCTGTCGTAATTTCTTCGATTTCGTCGACGGTAATTAGGTTTGCTCCACTTAGCTCCACCACGTTCCATGTGTTGCCAAAACGATAAGGGACATGATATCTTGCCCACAGGTTCCTGCCACGATAGAGTTCGACAACAGAGTGAGAATTGGCCAGCTTCAGGCTAGGCCCCGCCCTGCGTTCATCCCAGTGGTACATACGGATACGGTACTTTCCGGGCAGCTGTTTCTTTATGACGATACTACTGGCATGTAATCCAGCGTAGTCGTTCTGAATCAGATTATCAGCGCTCCGTCTTGCTCCGTTACATTCGACACGGGCGCGCCGTTGGCTATCTTGCAGGGGCCCTTCCACCACCAGCTCCATATAGACATTTCGAATACTATACTGAATTATCCGGATATCATCGTTCAACACGTCAGGCATAAGTGAATGAACGGCGGCAATGCCTGCTTCACGCATAACGAAGACCGGGAAAACTTTCCTTATATAGCCTATCTCGCTCACTGTTGCCGTGTAATATCCCGACGGTAGGCTTACGCTCCAGTGACCGTCTTGATTCGTTGTGGTTGTCGCGAAAACAGACCCATAAATATTGTGTAGGCCTTGACGGACGTTAACAGTTACGGAACGGGCAGGTGTAACATCGGTGCAGCCGCCATGACTCATATATGCGAGAGTTCCGTTTGTTGTCCCATTTCCGGCCAATGTTTGGCTGATCCACAACAAAGGTCCCATGGTGATCTTGCTGCCCAGCCTGAGATCGCGGTGTACATCTCGTAGAACAATAGGTAAGAACCCAGGTGTCTCGAATCTGATGGTGCAGGAGCCTTCTACTGGTATAGAGAGTGTGAATTCTCCGTAAAAACCAGTTATTGCAGTTTGATTTTCAAGCAGAATATCGTTCGGGTCTCTCACAGTAGCATAGACCGTTGCATCTATGAGTAGTTCCCAAGTAGATGCATCCCTGGCGAACCAGACCGCTGTGATTTGGCGCTCTGCAAGTAATCATTTATTTATTACTCGCAGCCGGAAACCTAAACGCAAATGCGTAGGTTATATCGCCTACCAAATTCGGCAGCTTATACGGACTTACTGTCTACGAATGCTTCCCGCCAAGTCAAAATCTCTTACTAAGTAATATATATGCCCTACCTGATATTTGTGTACCTTTTGCACCGATCGCGACAAACGACAACACAAGCAAAGGCGTTAACATAAAGGCGAACATTTTGCGGAACACAGAATTATAAATGTTAGATTTTCAACCCTCGATTAAGTTAAGCTCGGTTTGTTGCGACTGCTTAGGTATTTCGCTGCTGTTTTTGCACTGGCTCGACGTGTCTTTTTCAAGCTGCAAGGATTTATTTTGATGTTTATCTTACTCTCAAACGCACCTGGTGCGTTTGAGAGTAAGGTCATTTGACACTTTGACACCAGGTCCACCTGAACAGTTACCAATCAACAAGAACATATGTGTAGATTGTCATTAATATGCGTGCGTCGTGTATCAGAAAGTGGAACCGGCTAGTCAGTCGTTGATTTGAAAATTAACTTTAATATATAAATCTACAAAAAGTGGGACATGAGCACATCCAGGGCGCTTGAATCGCCCACACTTAGTTCGTAGTCGGTTTTCAAGTCAGAAGAAAGCTTTCTTTGACAGAACTAGACGGCCCAGATAATGCAGGGAGAAACAATGTGAGCACAAATAGAACAAGGATTATTGCTCAAAAATGCTGTAAAGTGCGTAGTTTATATGATACAAAATATTAAATACAGAGTGTAAGCAATGAACTGCGTTGAAGAATTTTATTTTTCATTAGAAAATGATTACTTATTGTTTTTACACACAGACCCGCTTGTTTGCGCAAACGAGGCGAAACGAAGCATCGACGTTTTTTCTTAATTTTTGTAGTTCTCGTCTCCGCAACTTTGCTTTGAAACGTAGTCTGCTTGTATTGCATGCTGCTCTTACATGGTTTTGATGAACATAAAATAACAGACTGAGAATTTCCAGCTCCTACTACGTTTAGATTTTAAATGTTGCAAAGGTAGTCATCAAATGCTGCTGGAAAATTTAGTGCCATATTCCGCCACATGCTAAAAACATTTGCTTTCTGATTGCCAAAGTCCTAAGTTCCGTAGCCCATAGGTCTTAGGTGCAAACATTTCAAAACCCCACATGAGAATTTTACGGAAGCGACCCACTAGTGCTCAATAAATAACTGCATAATTACACATTTCAGGTGGACCTAAACAGCGGAATGTATTACTATGTCTACACTTGTTTGTTGAAAAATGCCGGTGTTAGCAACACCAAAGCACTCCTTATCTGCTAGTTTCACTTCCGGTGAACACGATAACATTTAGAAACAACAAGCCTCAATTGTGCGGCAATGGTCTGAAAATGAACCTCTGCATTTATTGTTCGCGTACCTGTACCGCATTACGGTATGCAACAGCATCGAATCATGTACATAGTGGGTTGGCTATCACTTTGTAAGAATATTACAATAGACAGTCAGATAATTCTTATAAGGATCAAGCCTGCTGAATGCGATTATGATGTTTTCAATGTTATACGAATGCTGTGACCATATTTTCTCCTTTCAAGTCGCGCGGTGTTTTCCTTTATCTTTTCTAATAGCGCGGTAATCAATAATGGTTTCCAGTTTGTCACATGATTGAGATAACCCGACCACAAAGTTTAAACCATGTATTATTTGAACAAGTTTCTTCTTTTTGTAACCAACAACATAGGAATTTTATTCATATATGCTCAAAGATTGCATCGTTATTGAGTTAACTCAAATTATCGCCGTAGCTGTGATGTTCAAACATAAGAGTCTTGTTCAAATATGCTTAAGGCGTCCATCATAGTTTAGTAACTCAGAATATCGAAATAATACCAACGCGCACCGGACAAGCGTGAGTTACAGTATTTCACCGTTTTTATCGAATACCGGCTAGCTCGATGCGACAACTACAGTAAAAAGTCACATAATGTAAGGCCTCCATAATGTATATGTAAGGCTTCCATAACTTACATATATAATGTATGGCTTCCAATCTTATTCCAGAGGTTTTTTTGCCACCCAGTCCCATGGAGGCCTCTAACATAATGATCATGCTCACGCAATCGCAGCTTTCCCTCGAACAAATAACTTGCTGGGGCACTGCAAACTGCAAGATCTCTTACCCGTAAATTGGATGGCTCCGAAATCCCTCATCCATGAGCCTGTTATACTCTCCAATCATCGCTATGCTTGGAGAATATACCCTGTATTCTTCAATCATCGCTACACTTGGAGAATATATACCTTCCTCACAGTTGCGGGATTCAGTGCGGTGCTGTGGGAAATTTAAGCATTTAGGACTCATTCCGTAATCCACCGAATCTCTACAAGGCCTTTGTATGAGCAGTTGTCACTTCTTGAAAGAAGGCGGCCCAATAGAGACGAAAAAACGCCATTCTTGTTTTAACGCCATTGCGCACTACTGTTCGTGAATCGCCTTCTGAACCAAGTTAAGCTCGAAATTGTTTAAAGCTATCGTCATTACATGGTGTACAAGCCTGCCGACAAATTGAGCATTATTTTGTAAATACCGCGAACATTTACAAATTTACGGGTTACGCGTAAATCCATATCTGTACTGCGGCGCGCTACGGCACAATGTTTACAAAGGTGACATGCATTTGGCTGGTTGATGGTTTTGTGCACGCCAAATATTTTAATGAGAATAATAATTGCTTGGAATTGCCTGGCGAAAGGTGGCTAAGAAAACGACGTTGCAGTAAGGGACAATATAACCGCGGAGCAGATCCAGACATTGAGATAAGCGTACTGTAGTGGCCAGTGGCCTTCATTCAAGCGACAATTTCGCGCTAATATCGCTCTACCTGTACTTTTGTATGCCCAATTTGTCGACAGCCTTGTACGTAAGGTTTGCATGGTTAAAATAATTACGGAGTCTTTATAATGCTTTATTCCCGATTACCTGCTGGACACTCGCGCCAGCGTGTATGAAAAGTCCCGCTGCCCTGCGTCCCCGCCGAATTATTGGAGGCTTTGTAGCGCAGCAGTGAACTCAATCAAGACCGGTAGAGAAACAAAAAAATGCACCTTTTCCTTATTTATGCCATGCTGGTAAACTAAACCATGTATAATGTACTCACGAAATCTACTATGTATCATCCGGATTGACCGGGACCACTACAGTATGGTATCATACAACACTGCTATTTCTTCTTTTAGCGATTACCCGCGTCTGTTGCAAAAACAGAAACGGAAGTATAAATCTGTACTTTGATTGATATCAATTATCAGACAATTCAGCTATGGTTAACTACAAAAGAATCCTGGGTGGGGTTTCATGCGTCGTGGAACTCTGTCGTAAGTTCATTGATGGCCGTTAGATTTACTCCGTTAAATTCTGCCACGTTCCACGTGTTGCCAACTCGATTGGGAACAAAAAATCTTGCCCACAGATTCTTACCGCGATAGATTTCGACAACAGAGTTGGAATTGACCAAGCGCCTGCTCGGGGCTCCTTTACGGTTATTCCAATCGTAAACGCTGATACGATACATGCCGGGCAACTGCTTCTTGATGAGGGTACTATCGGCATACGCTCCAGCATAGTCGGTATGAATCAGATTATCAGCGCTCAGTCTCGTTCCCAGACATTCCACACGTGTTCGCTGTTGACTGTCTTGCAGCGGCCCCTCGACTACCAACTTCATATACGTGTCAGATCTCACATCAAAGTGAATTATCCTAATATCATCGTACGACACGAGAGGCATGAGTGAATGATAAATGTTTGAGCTGCCTCCAGCGCAAACGACGACCGAAAAAGTTTTCGGCAGGTATCCTGCCGCGCTGACTGTTGCCGTGTAATATCCCGCTGGTAGACTTTGGCTCCAGTAACCATCTTCATTCGATGTGGTTGTCGCGAAGATAGGCCCGGAAATATTATTCAGCCCGTAACGGATGTTAACATTTAGCGTAGACGCAGGTGTATCAACGTCGCAGTCACCAATTTTCATATATAAGAGACGTCCGTTAGCTGTGCCATTTCCGGCCGAGGTTTTGTTGATCCACAACAAGGGTTCCATCGAGACGTTGCCTTCCACCCTGAGATCGCGAAGGAAATCTTGTAGAAGAACTGGAAAGAACCCAGGCATTTCGAAAGTTATGGTATACCTGGTTGTCACTGGTACGGACAACGTGAATTCACCGAAGGCATTTGTTATTGCAGTTTGACTGTCGAACAGCAGATTGTTTGTATCTCTCAGAGTTGCATAGACCGTGGCGTTGTTGATTGAGGCCCATGTCCTAGCATTCCTGGATAGCCAGACAGCTGTAATTCTCTTCTCTGCAAGCAGTCAATTGATTGTACTGATCCGGGAAGAAACCGTTTTCGTATAAACGGCTGACATTCGATGACTACTCTATGATTCGTTGTAGCAGGAAGTTACTTCAGCTGTTAGGACTGGGAACGGACGGCGCAACGGTCGAATACGTCATCGCTGCCGCATACAAAAAGCGCTGCTGTGCTAATGCTTATCACAGTCCCACAGATTTTTTTTTCTCTTTTAACAGACATCTCTAGTTTCTTTCTCACCAACAGCTTTAAGTGATATTTGAACAGATCATACTGAATATAGAAATCCAAATTTGAGGGTCTAGAAAAAGAAGAGAAATCTGCTGAGAAAACTGACGACAACCATGAAAAACGCGAATCTGTCGCAATGCCAGCCGCCCTCCCGTGTATGCGAGACTAATGACGTCAAGCGGTTGGTTACCAGTCCTTCTCACCCTATGGTAAGTGCTCGGGTGTAGACATACGCTCTCCCGCTAAACACTAAAACCTGGCAATACTATGGGCGATAGCGAAGCAGTTAGTGTCCTGAATTTCTGACATTGCTCAACAATAAACTGACCTGATCTCCTGAAAGTTGGGGAAAATGACTTACCTTCGTTAGTGTCAGGGCAGACTGGCCTCGGGCAACGCTGTCGCTCAGCAGTGACATCTTTCTGGATGCAGTTGTAAGCAGCCTTCAGTCTAGCGACATCCAACAGGCTGAGGCCATATTGTTGGCCCATCCATCGGGACGGTGTTTTGGCTATTGGCGCAATGGCCGGCTTGTCGGGGCTCTTGGATAATTCCGGACCGTAATGCAGCAGCGACTCCAAGTCATAGGGAAGACCGAAGGTAGCCATTCGAGGCAGTTTGCGGAAGTTCCTTTCGTGGATGTCGGTCACCATGTTGCCGGGCACTATGCTGATGTAGTCGTCCCGATCCGGGCGACTGTGTTCGTGGAAGAATCCCAGCGCGTGCATCACCTCGTGTTGGATGGTGCCGGGTGACAAGCAGCGCGAATGCAGTTTGACTTTGGTGGGATGCCCGATAGTGCGACCAATGTCTGCCTTACATCTACCAAACAACGGTAACTCGAAGGCGTTCGTAACGGGTACTACGAAGAAGCGACAAAAGTTACACTGGTGTGAATCTCGTGTGATGCTGGATCAGAATGTATTCCTTGTGGGTCAAGGTGCGCTTCGTGAACGTTACGCAGCCGCTGACTCGAAATTCCAGAGTTCGCACTGCACTTTCTATTAGGGCTCTTTGTTCGTCGTCTAAAAGTTAACAAAAGAAGAGAGCTAAACGGTTTTTCGGAAATACAGTAAGTACCGTAATTATCAAATTCGCACCTCCCCCTTAATAAGGCCCCCCTCCATAATGTAATAAGCCCCCCTCCCATAACCTGTTTGAAAAATAGCACCTCCTCCGATTTTACCGCCCAGGGCAGCATTATTATGTAAATGCTAAGCGCCAAAAAATGATAGATGCACCTCAGATTTCTTCGTGATAACTGTTATGATTTATCGAATAAACAGTTAACGGTCACTAATACAATGTGCTCTAGAATGCTGCTCGCAAGGTTGCGAAATTGCAGATACCGGTATCTAATGCGTTCAATTTCAACATAACAGGGTGGGCAGTTGTTGAAAACTAAAGGCCCCTCCAAAACATACTGTCGGAAATATAGTACCACGCCCCGAAATGACTGTAACCTTTAATAAGTATCACTCGTAAGTACCAACTAAGTACTCAAAACAACATAAATTCATAAGAAAAACACTTCCTCAATGCTATCCTGATCGGGGATTGTACCCATCACACATATAGCATTTCCTCGTTGAATTTGAACAGATAGCCGCTGCTTAAAAAACTCTTTCGCCCGCTTCTGGCCTGTGGCGGTTGCTATCCCGTTTCCAACCTTGTCAACGAGCATTTTCATACCGTCCCCCCATGGTCCATAAATTTCAATCGCTGCCGCTGTGAGGTTGTATCTTGGTAAAAGCCAGGCGTGTTTGATCAGTTTGGCCCGTTCCGCCAGCTCAGCAGCGGCTCCAACGTTCAGAAAGGTGCGGTCGATATACGAAGCAGCGAGTGTGTCAACGCAGGTCACGTCAATAGCCAGCGGTTTACCGCGCTCCCAGGGTATAAGAGTGATCACGTCCGGCCTCTTTCGATCTTTCAGTGAGAGACCTTTTGGTTCCATTTTCGCTGGAAAACCGGCGGTCTTCAGTCCGCGGGTGAATTCCGCGCTGATGCCATCGTGCCGTGGCAGCCTTCCGGCTGACCGCTTACAACGGAGCCCGTGCCGGCCCAATTCATCGCCCCGAAATATGCCTCTCTCCTCCATGACGTTTGCACTTTTGCTCCCCGGGGTGGAAATTCGATAATTACGGTAAGAAACTGTTTACGAAATGCTTAATACTGATAATCGCATCGATCGTTCTTTTCACACAGGAAGAGTGCGGTAGCGGAGAACGCTCCGCTTTCTGTAATTATATGACGCTCTGGTATAAGCTGTTTTTGTCCTGATTTTGATTCCTGAATGTGGTTAGATATTAATAAATATCTCCAGTGAGCAAACACTGAGTACTAAAATACGAGTAAGATTCATAGCATTACTTCCTCTATGCTGCCCTAAACAGCATTGTAAAAGCCACGTAACGCGTTTCCTCGCTCTGTTTTGATGGTCGCTGACTGAAAATCTCTTTCCGCGTTTCTGGGCTGTAAGTCTGTGACCAAAGTTCTACAGATTCACAGTATAATTATCTGTGGATGCTTGAGTAGAGCCCAATGAAAGTTAGGACAACCCGAATGAATTTAATGATTTATTTCCCATTCAAGCTAATAACTGGATCAACAAATGCGTTAATTTTCGGACTCCTAATTTTGCAAACGTGTTCTTGCTTTTATTCGTGCATAAGCACGAGAACTATTAGCAAATACATGCAGATTGCAACATGGGTTAGATCATACGGTTCTGGCGAAGCTGTTTCTTGTAGACGCACTGCACACATTTAGATTAAATATAATATTTAGTCACCTTATTAGGTGACTCGCTTACCAAATCCTGCCACTTCCTAAGGAATCTGTTGTCCGTTGTTGGGCCAGTAGCCGCTCGGTGCAAGATAGCCCGATCCTGAAACGAAGCTATCGTACCCGGTGCCGTCGTCGTCGTCGTCCCAGTTGATATCGTTTATCAGCAAAAGTTTGTCAGCTGTCTCAAAAAGCCATAAGAAAAATTTAAATTCCAGTATTTTGAATGTGGCGACAACAGGAGGAAGGATAGCTTTACCTGGCGGGGAAGACACTGTGACGGCAATCCACAGAAATCCCGAAATAAGCAGAGCAAGTGGGGAATGCATTCCTCCTGATTAAATGAAACTGTCGTTGCCTGCACACACAGGTTTTTGCTACTGCCGGTTATGTTAGCGCAAACAGAATAAGAAAGCTGGCAAAGGTTTGCCCAAGCGTTCGCAGGGTCAGTTTACGCTAACTTTAATCCGCGGCAGCAATGCACCTTGAATTGACGCATCGTGCTACATTCGCGCGACAGTTAACCGTGTCCGCCGCATGAAAATAGAAACTCGGTAATTTATCGATGTAATCAAGAACAGCTAAGTCGTAGCGGCGATCGTATCGGAGAAATGCGGAAATCACGTTTAATGTTGTGACTCTGCTCGAGAGGTTTCGACCTTTGTCTTCGCTAGTGGCTTCGGTAAAGCAGTTATATGGTTGAAAAAGAAAGCCAGAATGTGCAACAAAACTAAAGTTTCACAGAAAAAAGGTTTGCTTAAACGAGGACGCTGCATTTTGACCACCGTTTTCAAATCATTCCGTGAAGCTACGGCCCGCGATAACGATCCAGCAAAGGATTTTTAACCACTGGATAGTAATGGCAGGGTATTGCTGGCCAGTAAGTAACCCGTTCTCATAGTACACAACTAAAGTACTTCGGCCACCAGTTGGTTAACACGTTGTGGGACCGCAAATGATGCAATTTCTGCAAATCGATTTCTGCATGTACTACTGCCAAAATGTGTTTGCATGGCAAAGTTTTCTTCGATATCCAGTTTGCTTATTCCATGGCCACCATTACGTGCAAAACAATTACGAATTGTCGATTGTTGCAACTGCTTCCAAGCCAAGGCTGATAAACGATCATGCAATGTTCATAGATATTATTGATGTGCAACGATGAAAAACGGCAGGGTGTAAAACCTGGCAGTGGCGCCTGCCAATGGAACTGCCAGTGGTATGGCAAGCAATATAACCTGGAGACTCTGGCAGGTGGCAATCGATAAAAGCTGGCAGATGCCACAGAAAATATGGCACAACTAATAAGCGGGTTCGAGTGTTCGGTCAATACTCAACAGCAAATTTTTGAAAATATTGCCAGTATACCGTCAGCTTTACATGTAAAGTGCTAATACCATTACTGAACGTGCACGAAGTCATACCGGCATACACAATTTCAAAAGGTCACACTGCATTTCATCGTTTGCGCAAAGTAACGTATGGTAAGAGAATCCCTAGGCGCGTTACAAGTACTTACCATCGCGGCACTTCCAGATCTGTAAGGCAGACCGCTGGAACATGCCTTGCGGTTGAGCGCCGTTAAGCTGCGTGATACGAGTGCGTTAATCGCTTCATCAAGAACGGTTGACTGATGAATAAATGAATTTTAATTTTCTCCGCACACTCATCTGGTGGTTTAACTTGTAATGGCTACCGTAAGTTAACGCCAGCGATTAAGCACTTTTGTTTAACTGAAAAGAAATCTGATAAGATTTCATGAAAACAGCTCGGAATACAAACGTTGAGAGCGAAAGCGGTTTTACTGGCATATTAATTTGGTTTTACCAAGTATTTTTTGGATAGCCGTATTTATTAGTTTATTAGTACAGTACTGCAATACAGCAAGCACAATTTTACGCACTTAAACACACACTAAATTTAAATTTGTATTATTCCCAAACTCCAGTGGACTGATTCGGGAATGAATAAAAAATTCATGCTGTATAACGTTGCACTACTGGAAATAGGCAAAATGATTATATTCAAAACTGCATTAGTAACAATTTTAGCATGTATGTACTGTTCTACATAAGCATTAAACTATAAGGCAACCTGTGTCGGCCTATTTAGATTAATTGCCTATGGTTTTAGGCCGCTCGTTTCCGCTGTTTGTTAATTGACTATTGAAATTACTAGTTTTCACCACAGTTCCTACTTATCTACATATTGCCTGAATAACGTACATGAAGCATACCCTGCAGTTTCGTGCGCAAAGCAGTGATAAAAACAACTAAAAATTATTTAATAACCTACACCTTACCTAAATAGTTAGCACCCCGCCAGCACTGTACTGGCGGGGTGCTAACTGAGAATTTTTTACAACCAGAATTGATACGTACGTATCAATCACTACTGCATCTTACCAATCGAAATCAATAATGAAATGTGACGTGGTGATTATAATTTTACAGTCATAATAAAATTTATTGATAAATGTTCAGCACTGTACAGATAATGCTTATTGAACTTACCCAGTAATACTCCATGACTGCCGTAATACTGACGCCAAACAGTTTCGGACCAGAAGAAAAACTAAAGTGATGTGATTTGTAAAGCATCACAAAACAGTTTCAGCAGGGAAAAGGGTAGTTAATAATATGAGTGGAGCCGCTTTTGTATCACGATCTACATTAGTGTTTGGACTACAGACAACCGGTCACTATAATGCCGGCTCGGCTCATGTTTGGTATGCGCACAGATCAAACTCCAAACTTCGATCAAACAGACTTCGTTGTTAATCCAAAAAAATTGGCGCCGTGTGAGTTGTGCTTTTATAAACGAACTTTGCATTTAAAGGGTAGCTCTACAAACAACTACCCTTTAAGTACTCTTATCTTATTGTTTTTCTAGCTGATCATTTCGCTCGTTGTGCGTAATGATAAACGACAACACAAGCAGATGTACATGTTGATGTTAGATATGCCGATGCGAGAGTACAGGATACTCACGTTAGAATCAGTTACGCTGCAACGTTCACATCAGACTTTTACTTTGAGTATGACGCTATTTCCTAATTCCTACTATTTTCAGAATGCCTATTGTAACAATGCCAGTTTTTGTCCTAATACCGTTTATTTCATGAAATGTGGACTCAATCAAGGTGGATAGGATCATAGTGGATGGGATCGTAGTCCCACTATTTGAAAGTGAATTCATGTTAGTTTGTACATATCTGCGCTTCCAGTATTCGACTATTATACCGGTTTTGCGTGAGTAATGATAAGTACATACTGTATCTTACTTTGTGTTTGTAACTTCTACGCCTCAGTTAATTAGTCTGACAAGACATTTACATGGAAATCTCATGCCGGGAATACCCGAATACCATTGCCAACACGAAGTAGCGCGTACATCCAAGTTGAAGTTAGGGTTAAGGTTTTTTGCGTTTTGCCTAACTAAATTTCGAGCATAAATTATGTATAAACCGAGGGTCAATTTGCTCACTTCCGGATGTAAACCGGAGCTCAGCGCCGGTATTTGTTAGGGCCTTCTACTTACTAAGGGTTTTCCCGAACTTTTGTACGCGTCAGGTCATCATACGTTTGGTAACATAAGATCCTTTCAAAATTCCGCTACTGTTTTCGAAAATAATAAAAACATTTTCAAGTCAAGAACTCGATTTTGGAGTTCCTTGAAAAACCATCGCAGATATGGTGACTGATTTTTAGAAGCGCCAAATGTATGCTCATCTGACGCTAACCTGTTCGGGAAAGCCCCTCGCTAATGGAATTCTGCCGCCGGTACGTGGTAGAAATACATGCACCGTGTACGGTAGCTTTCGCTTCCGTGCACTCCTAAACACTCTTCGGCTTTCTCTTATGGAATTTTTAAAGACAGATTAAGTTGTCTACATTGGCGTGAAAACCGTTTGAGCACGCAACATCCGGTTCAGGAGTTATGGCAGTGGCACCTGCCAAGTGCGCGAAAGCGAAAGTTTTAGTGGATGTATCTATTTTTGATACTTTGTACCGGGCCATTTTCCTTAAACTGATTTCACCATTAACACGAAGATCGTTGTTTTTACGCCGAGCGTGGCTTCCAAAAATGTTTTTTTGTTAATTTTTAAATGAATCTGACGAAAAAATACCTCTTAAAATTAAAAATTTCGAATTAAAATTAGAAACCAATAGTACAAACTTGACTCGGTGATGCTCAATGTAATCCTTTCAAGTCAAAATATGAAAACAAACTGATCTATGTATAATGAAACTTCTGTATAACTCGTGCATAATTTTTGTATTTTTGTGCATTCAAGCTACAGTATACAAATTTTTTCTATCATTACTCTCTCTCCCACCGAACATTGCACCTAAGAACGGTTTTCACGCAATTGTATAGGCACTTATCATTTGACTGTAGAATTACTTAGAACAAGACAAAAGGGTTCGGGTTCGGGGAACACCAAAGCCACAGTAACCGGTTATATAGAATTACACCGTTTATTTTGCACTATGTACCGGCACTCTTCGCTTAATTTTATTGAAACCAAACCTCTCCTGCTTATGTTGCATTTTTGCCGGAGTTAAAAAGAAAGGCAGCGAAAGGCGAGTAAAAGCACGGCTGCAGGACCCAAGCGGTGTGCCGGCTGCAGCGTTAACCGTGGACCCGGTGAATGTATTTGGTTGTTAACCGATACAGCATCGCGTTTAAGCGCACGCCGTAAATCAGTGGCGTGCTTTCTAGATCTGGATGCACCGCGGTTGTATTTTTAACGCGCCTTGTTCTTCTTTTTTTGGTACTTTGCGCAATGGCGAAACACAATATGACCTTACAAAATCTGTATGTGGCGCTTACTTGCGCACTTGCGCATGACCAGTAATGCTATCAACACTTCATATAAAGATTGACATTTTAAAGAATCATACAGTTGACCAACCGCTTTTAACCGCTTATTAAGTGTGCCACATTGTGTGCGTCACTTGCCAGATTTTATCGTTTGCCAGTTGCCAGAGTCTCCAGGCTTTATCGCTCGCCATGCCATTGGCAGTGCCAGGTGCCACTGCCAGGTTTTACACCATGCCATGAAAAACAGCGCCAAAAAGAGTTTGGGCCTAAGAACTTCCGAACCGCGTGAGTTGTACATTGTATATTAATAGTCAGCGAGCTCACGAATTTAACAAAGAGGTCCGTGCAGATACCGCTCGCAGCAGAACGATCAATGGTTAAGCTGCCAAACATTAATTGCTAACTTTCCGCTGTAAAATCGATTGTGGTTTATTTCTGTTGTTTACGGCCTATGTAGAGATGGCAACGGCCGGCTAAACGGCTGACCTTTTGGCTGACGGCCGGCTGAAGCCCTTAGCCGGCTAAACTATCGCGGCTGAAAGTCTCAGCCGGCTAAAGCGGCATACGAAATTTCCCAGCCGGCTGGCCGCCGGCTAAGCCGGTTAAGTAAAATTTCGGCAAAAAAATTAATTTTTTTCAAAAAAAGTTCGAACCACTAACAGGCATCG